AATGGTAGGTGATAGATGCATTCTTATCCACTTGGTCCTCTAGAAAGAAACTTCTGAGACACATTGTGTAAGATTCTTTCCAATGTCCCAGGGGTACCAAGCCCCAATAGCCTGTAGTGGTGGCCAACTCTTTAACACATCTTTGTATTGCTCTCCATCCTTCTACACTTCATTTCCTGTCCTAGTCTCCTACTTCCTCAAAGAAACTAGCTGTACTCAAGTCTTTGTCTCACAGTCACTACCCAGAGATCTCAGGCTAGGGCACTGAGGAAATTATGTTTTTGACCTTTGATCCTGATTAAGACAGTCATATGTTCCTGCAGATGGTCATCTGGAGTCAACATGGATCTGATCCAGTGTGTTGCTGCAATGGTTAATTTTATGCATTGACTTGACTGGTCCACTGGTGTGGGTGCCCAGACGTTTGTCCATATCATTCTGGATGTGTCTGTGAAGAAGTTTCCAGACGACATGAACATTTGAATTAGTGGGTGATTGGAGATCCAAATAGAACAGAAAGGCTGAGTAAGAGGGAACTCCTCCTGCCTTCTTTAGCTGGGTCAGTGGTCTTTACTAGCTTCAGACTGGTACTGAAACGTTGGCTTCCTGGGTCTTGAGCCTGCCAGCTTTCACTATCAGCTCTCCTGGCTCTCAGGCCTTCAACTTGGACTGAAACTAAACTATTTGCTCTCTTGGGTCCTCAGCTTGTCTAAGGCAGATCTTGGGACTTCTTAGCCTCCATTATTTTAAATTTATATTTCATATATTATATGTATCATATATAAGTATACATTGTACATTTATAATTTTTATATAAACTGTATATAATACATAGTGTACATATATTGTACATAATATATAACATATAAATAATAAGTAAACATATTATTATATTATACTATATTATATTATATTATATTATATTATTATATTATGTTATGTTATGTTATGTTATGTTATGTTATAGATAGATCTCAATCTATGTATATACCATAGATCTACACATAGATCTATCCATAGATCTATATAGATATTGACATTGATATCAATATAGATACAGATAGTTATATAGAGAGCCTCCTATTGGTTCTGCTCCTCTGAAGAATCCTAACTAACACATTGCACATGGCCCCAAATTCAAACATCTGTTCTATAATTAACCAGTTCAGATAGAATCCTAAGGGTCCTAATGCATTAATAATCTGTAATCTTTTCAGAATGGTAAACAACCCCAAAATGGCCTATTTATCCTCTGCCATCAATTTAATGCATAGCAGCAATTGGGCAGCAAAGAAAATCAGCTAGAAAGAAGCTACATGCCCTGTTTTCCATTGTCTATTTGTCCTGGGCTAGATTTTTGTGGAAATCAATGATTATTTGCCATAGTAGTTTCCTAGGGCTGCCCTGACACATTACCACAAACTAAAGTGGCTCCAAATAACACAAATTTATTCTGTCATAGTTATGAAAGCTAGAAGTCAGAACTTAAGGTTTCAGTAGGGCCATGCTCTCTCTGGAGGCTCTAGGGGATGACCTTCTCTTGCTTCTTCCTAACTGCTGGTATTTTCAGGCAATCCTTGGAATTCCTTGGCTGTGGCAGTGTAACTCTGATCTCTGCCCCCAACCCCACATGGCCATCTTCTCTCTGTGTGCCTCTGGGTCCAAATCCCCCTCTTTTCATAAGGGTACCAACCATCAGGTTAGGGCCCAACCTTACCCAGTAAGACCTCATCTTAACTTGATTATGTCTACAAAGGCCCTATTTCTCAAAGATGATGTTCACAGTTTCTGTGTAGACATGAATTTTGGAGGAACATTATTCAACCCAGTAAGGATGCTGAGTAGGCTCAGGAAACAACTGGCCTTTCTCTGCACCTGGTGAGGTGAGGACAACATTGTGGTGAAAGCAGGAGAGAGACTTAGGGAAATGCAAATGGAGCCAGGCCTCATTTAGCAATGATGGTGGTCATAATTCTAGGCCCAGAGGAGTTCTGAGGCTGCCTGAAAGTCAGCCTCATGCTTGGCTGAGGTGGGGCTGTCTCGACAGCCACTCCTTTAAGGAAACATCTCATGTCCACCCAGGATATAGAACTTCTGGGATCTTGACTGACATGTCCTGGTTTTCCCCTGGAGGGTACTCACTGTGTCAGCTTCCTAGGGGGCAAGATTAACAATGACTTTCTGTTTAGAAAGGTTACAAGTAAATATCCTCAAATAAATGAAAAAATAAGTACACAAAGAAAACAGGTCACTTTTAAAAGTGAGTGGTGGCTAAGGCCTAATGGAGCCTCCAAGAATGTTGGAGAACCTTTCAGGGGAAGAAGCTTGGCAGAGAGCCAATGATGACATTATGAGAGAAGAACTCTTGAGAGCATCAGGACCGTTTCTTTGACTGACTGTGAAGACTTGGGCAAGCACTTCCACTCTGGAGATCAGTTTGTTTGGAGCAGGCAAAAAATGAGGCACCTCATGGCCCGTTGTCCACTATTCTGTGATTTGAAACTATAACTTCTTTGAAGGCAGAGACCACATCTGTCTTGTTTGCCTTTGGATCCCCAGGTCCTAGAATAGTACATGACACTTAGGAAAATATTCAATATTTATTCATTGAATGAATGTTGGGCAGGAACTGGTTAGATTGAAGAGAGGCTATTCATTTTCAACCCACAAAGGGAAACCTAAGAACCATGTTTTCCACAAGAGGGGAAGGATATAAATGGTGGAATTTGGGGTATTTATTGAATGGATATTTATTAAGCACCTACAGTGGGACACGCTGTAAACAATGTTGAGAGATAGAACAATGTGCAACTTGCAGCCTCTGCTCCAATTTGTTAACATCTAATGATAGAAATTAGCTAAACACTCTCAGATACTATAATTACTTGAGTATAATATTTTATTTTATTTTTTTAATAAATAGTTTATTGTCAAGTTGGTTTCCATAACACCCAGTGCTCATCTCCACAAGTGCCCTCCTCCATGCCCATCACCCCCCTTTCTCTCCCCCCACCCCCATCAGCCCTCAGTTTGTTCTCAGAATTCAAGAGTCTCTCATGGTTTGCCTCCTTCCCTCTTCCCCACTATTTTTCCCCTTCTTCCCCATGGTCCTCTGTTAACTTCCTCCTAATCCTCCTATACGTGCAAACATATGGTATTTGTCCTTCTCTGCCTGACTTATTTCGCTCAGCATGACACCCTCAAGGTCCATCCATGTTGCTACACATGGCCAGATTTCATTATTTCTCATTTCCATGTAGTATTCCATTGTATAGATAAACCACATCTTCTTGATCCATTCATCAGTGATGAACACTTAGGCTCTTTCCATGTTTTGACTATTGTCGAGAGTGCTACTGTGAACATTGGGGTACATGTACCCCTATGCATCAGCACTCCTGTATCCCTTGGATAAATTCCTAGCAGTGCTATTGCTGGGTCATAGGGGAATTCTATTGTTAATTTTTTTGAAGAACCTCCACACTGTTTTCCAGAGGAGCTGCACCAGTTTACATTCCCACCAACAGTGTAGGAGGGTGCCCGTTTCTCCACATCCTCGCCAGCATCTATAATCTACTGATCTGTTCATTTTTGCCTCTGACCGGTGTGAGGTGGTATTTCAGTGTGGTTTTCATCTGCATTTCCCTGATGATGAGGGATGCTGAGCATCATTTCATGTGTTTTTTGGCCATCTGGATATCTTCTTTGGAGAACAGACACTCCTCCACTGAGTATAATCTTTTAAAATTTAAGAAATAAATTTAAAAAACTATAACATGTGTGTAACATATAAGAGAGGGAATAAAAGTTACTCTTGATTAAGATAGAGAAGGCTTTATTGAGAACCACTGCATTATCTCAGGAGACTAATAATTATGTCTAATATTGGACCTTCGAATACCTTGGAATTCATCATCTCTTGGAGACATCCAGACTTAGGGATGACCTTTGAAATGCGGGTAGCCCTTAAGTTGCAGGACCTCCTGCACTGCTCTTACTCAGGGTTCAAGGTAATGTTCTCTCAGAGAGGTGAATTCCAACAGGTTCATTTGAACAACACTGTAATCTGGAAATGTGCAGCATATCCACAAATCAGGGCCAAGGCCACCCATTCCTTTAAGCCTGAGGATCATCAGTTCAGGTGTCAACTTAGCATCTGAAAGTTGATAATAAAAATGTTTTGGTGTGAACAGCTTCTATCCAGTGTCTTCAGTAGCGTTCAGATTATACCCTTGACCCTCCCTAATCCAGTTACTTGTTTGGCTTTACATTCAGAAACCAATATTCAAAGGAATTCCCACCGAGGGCTTAAAAGGACCATCCCTTCTCCCTTGAGCCCACTGGAGATTATTTAAGATCTGGAACTCTCTCTCAGGAGCCAATATGAAGTTGGGATTTAGAAGAATCTGGATTCCACTTCCTAGACCACAACCAGAATAAAGTCAATGGAATCATAAAAATTATATAGAGCCCAGCCATTGGCCACCATGTTTCTATTTCTTGTTTATTGGCTCTTTTATGCATCTAATAGGTAGGGAGAACTTAACTATCTCCTGTTATGTAAGATAAGGACAACCTGAAAGATGGAATAGACTATATCAGTAATTGGCTTTTCATAAAACATATGTCATTCTGTCAGTTACAAGAGAGAAAATCAACTTAAGCTAACTTAAGTAAATAAGGACATTCACTGAGTCATGTAATTGAAAAGCTCAGGCATGGTTCAACACAGGTGCCCAACAGGAATCTTTTTCTCCATCATCAATATTCAAGGCTAGATTTGAAATGCACATATTTGTATACTTTACCTATCCCTGAGCCAATTAGTATGGATAGCAGCATGGGATGCCTGGCTGGTCAGATATGAATCATGTAACCTCACCTGGACCTCACATACCCTGAGAACAAGAGAGAGATAGTTTTGCAAAGGAAAATAAGGGTGATGCTCCAGGAAAATATGGAGAGGATTGCTGGAAAGCAAGAAGAATAGATGTCTGCTATGGAATGCAACAGAGCACTTTAATAATGGCAGGTCCTGGTGCTCTGAATAAGGCCATTTGGCCAGCAGACCTTGGGGCTTCCATTGTTGTCAGGGGTAAAGCTTCCATTGAATTACCACATGGACTCTCTCTGCATCATTGTATCTAATGCCATTGTGACATTCCAAGTTCACAATAAGAAACGCTGGAATCCAGGTTCATCAACAGATCAGTTCTCTAAAGTTCCAGACTGACTGTAGGATGGAAGGGCAGGGCAAGTTGTGGGAGCAGCTACTACCCCTTCTAGGATCTGAAGTCCAAAAAGAGGATTCCTAGCCCATCCAGACCACTGGGACTTCATACTAAAGGCCTTGGCTTAGCCTCACAGTCCTACTTTTCCAAAGAATGTACTGAGTTCTCACATCTCTTGAGTGAGATGCCAGAGTATCCCATCTGCTCTCATTCCCTTATTCCAACTTTTTTCTCCAAATGTGAGCAGCTTTTTCCTTATCCTTCTTGGTACAATTGCATGTTTCCACCCAGAGGAGTGAAGTGGTTTGTTGTTGTTGCTTTTCACCATGCAGTTACTTCAACTGCAATTTGGTGTCTTCTAGCACTGGGAAGGGGAAAGACATATATAATTAGAAAAGCAAATAATGATACAAAGGCCCTATTACTGAGGTTTTCTGGATGACTGTTCGAGTCAGAAAAACAATAGTGCTCAGAGGATGGAAATGAGCCCACATGTTGGAGAATGGACACGACGAACTGAAATCATGGAGCAGGGGCAAAGCCAACTCAAACAGCAGGACCTTAGGTCTTGCTCAGATGAAAGAGTAAGGCACTGAGATGGGACAGAAGCCAGGAGTGGCATCTCTGGTGACCCTCAGAGGCCCCTACTTCTCCAATACATTCAATCTGCTGTATCTACAAAGCTGATGTGTGATCTTTGTGCTTGAGCCAAGTACATTCAGAGAAAGCAGGACCTCCCCAGGCTCACCCTCTCCTCCATTGTCAAACCAGTGGTACTAACCCTCAGAGGATCTTGGGAAAGATTTTGAGCACTTGTGTGATGGTGTTCTTCAATCATGCCTGGTCCTGTGTGAGAAAATTCCTGGGTTTCTTTGACATTCTTCAGTTATTTCAATTTACTGTAGGCAAAATCAGTTAATGTGCAGAGGTAAAGCTCAAAAGGGCCAGTTTCATAACTCAACTTTGTAGATAACCAGAGTCAGACTGTCCCCAAAATCTTCCCTTGCCCTGGGAAGAACAGAAGAAAGTGTATAATGTAAGCAGTGGTCTGCCACAGACTAGTGACCAACCCTGACTTCAAAGATGGATTTTTTTTTAAAGGTCATTATGTTCTTAAAGTTTGTTTCTACATGACCTCAATATTGTGAGTTAAATAGTGGAAAATTCAGCCAAATCTCCTGATTGTTTTATCATGAAAGTCCAATTCTAAAGATAGTCAAGAGGCATTCACTTCAGGAAAATTCCATTTCATTCAGCAAAGACTTTGTCAGCAATTTAGGGGGTACCCATACTGTGCTAGTTCTATGAGCAGCATAGAAAATGTTTGTTTTCCGACCCCTACCCTCCAGCTGCTCCGAATTTGATTGCTGTGACAAAGCACAATGTTACACAGGTGGGGAGGGGACAGTAAATGTTATAAATTTGTGCAAACTCCTGTGCCCAGAAGTTTAACACAAACCAAGTTGATCATAGAGGTCCAGAACAGCACTTGAATTTTTTTTCCACTTCAACCAGAGAGTCCTTTATGCTATGTTATTGGAGAAGTTACGGCACACAGAGCCCAGCTTAGGCACCAGGGATTCACTTATGAAGGAAAAACCATAACCCTACCCAGGGAAAGTATTCCATCCCACGGTTGTTGGGGACTGGGTTGGAAAATACAGGCAGGTTGGGAAAACATGAAAGGAAACAAATTAGCTTGCATAATTAGAAACACGATGAGTAAAAGCTGGATGAGGGGTTGGGGCTGTGGGTGGTGTGAAGGAGGTGAGGAGGATGAAGAAAAGAGAAGACGTGAGAAGGTTCCTGGAAAAGCTGAAAACATAGCTAAATATGTGTGAGTCCTGTGGAGAGTGTGGCTTGGCAAACAGCGGGGAAGAATATTCCTAGGCTGGGGGCTGGGGACGTAGCTTGTAGAGGGGTAGAGAAGGCTGAGGTATTGCACACACACCCCCATCCCACCTCCTTACTCATCCATCTTCCCTAGGCGGTCTGGAAGCCCGGGGTGGCTCTCTTCTGTGATGTCCTTTTTCTCACCCTGCCCCTCACAAGAGGAAAGAGAACAGAGGAGGGTGGGCGCTTGGAAGCCAAGCCTCCAATTTCATGCTGATGCTTGGCTGGGGAAGGAAGTCTTGAAACCTAATTGCCTCTCAGAACAGCGCTTGTCTGATTTTCCCATGAGGTATCCCAGGGTATTGAGTGCAACTGGTCACAGGGTCGCCAGGGTGTAATGTCGGTCCTGGCTCTGGGTTCCTGCATTACTCTAACCCTGGCGAGTGACACTGCCTGATCTCAACCAGTAGTCTCAGTCCCATGCCAGACTTGGAGACCAATCTTGGTTTCTGGCAGCCGTCAACTTTTTGTCTCCTCTTACTGTCTTGCTACTGGCCCAGCTTGACTGAGGCTATCTTATTCCCCAATAATCAGGCTCTTGCTTATTTCTTGACCAAGCCTCTGTCTTCTAAGCTGGAGTTTTCTCCTATGTTACTTCCCTGTATTCCCTTCAGTGATTGAGATCCAGGCTTCCTTCCCAGTCTCCCCAGGGAGCCTTCATTGGAGCCCAGTCTCATTAGCAGCTGGGATGCCCTGTTCCTGACCTTTAATTTGGGCCCTGCCAGGTCATCCCTGAAGCCAGCTTTCTGCCTTTTCTTACTGATTGCTTGTTCCTTGGACTTCTAGTAATCAAGGTGTCATTCCTGCCTAAAAAGATTCTGGATCTCAGCATTGTTAATGACCTCAGCCAATAGTGCTTCTACCTTCTTGGTCTTAGAATAACATAAGATTTATAAATTTATTCTCTTGATGCTGATTCTTGGCCTTACTGCTTAATCTGATCTATTGAATTTCACCAACAAAGGATCTGCCTGGGGTTCTTCATTAGTGAGAACTAGTTAGTTCTTACTTAGTTTTGCCCATCTATCTCATGGCCCAATGCCTGAGACATGAGAGAACCCACTGTAACTACATTATTTCTGACACCTATCAGATGCTCAGTCACTGTAGGACCAAGTTCATCTGACCTTGACACCAGGCACAAACAACAACAACAACAAAACTTTCCAGCTTGATTGACTCAGAATCCATTGATCCTTCTCATATCTCTCCAAAAACCTACCAGAAATTTCAGTTCTAAAATTCATTTGCCACTCTGATTTTTTTCTCATATCAAAGTAAGTTGAATGAAAAGGAGGAAAAATGTCTGTAATTCCTAGAATTTCTTAAGAAGATATGGGACGAAAATTTCCAAGAGTTTCCTGGTCAGACAGGAAGGCTAAGAAATAGTCAGGAACAAAGGTTTAAGGCCTCAGTCCCCTTGGTTCTGTTGCCATGGTAGTCCTATGACTTGTGGAATTCCCTCCCCTCAGGTGTTAGGAGGACCCAGTGAGTTTCCTTCCATGAACTGAAGGAGAGAATTTGGAGTCAGTAATGGTATATCACTTTCAAGAATAGGTTACAAAAAAAAATGGCTTCTGTCTTGCACTCTTTTGCTCTCTGTCTTGCCAGCTTATCCAAATGAAAACCAGCCCCCTTGTTAGGAGCTGCCTAGGGAAAGGCTTACAGGGCAAAGAACTGACGGAAACTTCTGGTCAATATCCAACAAAGAACTGTGGTCCACAGTGCAATAGACCGTGAGGAGCTGAATCCTGCCAAGAAGCATGTGAGTGAGTTTGGGGTCAACCCTTAAGATGAGACTAGAGCCCTTGCTGATACCTTGTTTGCAGCTTTATAAGAGATCTTAAGGAAGAGGCACCCAACTTAAAGAAGAGGTAGCTAGATCCCTGAACCACACAAAGTATGAGGTAATAAATGTTTTAAGAAGCTAAGTTTGGGGGGGTAATTTGTTACACAGTGATATATATATATATACACACACACATATATATATATATATATATAATGTAAACTTCAAGAGAATTAAAGACAAAAAAGACAGAAAAATTTGATTGCAAACAATTTATCACCACCCTAAATCTTCCAGCTCCCCATTAAACTAGTCTTAGAGGAAAACCACACCTATTTTATCAACATTTATGCAGTGTGTGCCCTCTCTATGCCCAGCACTAGAACACATGCTATGAAAGATTCAAAAGAAGTTGGGGCCCTCTGGGGTACCTAGGTGGCTCAGTCGGTTAAGCATCCAACTTTGGCTCAGGTCACAATCTCGCCATTCTCTCTCTCTTTTTTTTTATTTAATTTTTTATGTTTTATTTATTTCTGAGAGAGAGAGAGAGAGAGAGAGAGAGAGCATGAGCAGGGGAGAGTCAGAGAGAGAGGGAGACACAGAATCCAAAATAGGCTCCAGGCTCTGAGCTAGCTGTCAGCACAGAGCTCAATGCAGGGCTCGAACCCACAAACCGATCATGACCTGAGCCGAAGTTGGACGCTTAACCAACTGAGCCCCCCAGGTGCCCCTTGATCTTGTGGTTCTCAAGTTCAAACCCCACATCAAGCTCTGTGCTGACAGTTCAGACCCTGAGGCCTGTTTCAGATTCTGTGTCCCTCTCTCTCTCTCTCTCTCTCTGTCCATCCCCACACTCATGCTCTGTCTCTCTTTCAAGAATAAATTAAAAAATTTTTTAAAAAAGAGTTGGGGCCCTCAGGGAACAGAAGAACAACTGTAAACCAGAAGAGATAGGAATCTCAGTATCACCATTGTGTCACTACTTTCCATGTCCCAAAAACTCATGAAAATCCCTCTTCAATTCCATGAAAAACAGTAAAAGAAGAAAGACAGAAAAGAGCTTCTATTACATGTTAGTCTGTTATGAGGCAACCTGAATTCCATTAAGATAGAGGCTGAAAATTGGCAGGAAGGATTTGATCTGTAAGCATGTTTTATTATGTCAACTGTATTAATTTTTTAATTGGTCACCAACATATTAAATCAGGATATTTCACATGAATACCAACTTTCTGGCTTGTCTTCAAATCCAGAGGATCTGGCCCCACTGGGTCAACACTGTAGGTCAACACCTACGAGGCACCACTGCCTAGCAAAGTTAGCCCTTTCCTTTCCTCTAGCCTGATATGTGCTTGTCATTTTTCCCCGGTCCCTTCCCAGCCCATTTCATTAATTTACAGTGGCTGGCATTTTAATCTGCAGATGGTGCACTAATCCTCTTTGATTATTTTTAAGCTGCAGAATTCTTTTTGTCTTCAGAGAATGATAGCCTCAATTCTCTGCCTCTGCATAAATCCCTTGGGTAAAAGCCCAAGGGCTGGCCCACAGTAGGTATTCAGTAAGTGTTCCCTTATTCTCCATCATTCTCTGGACAGAGACAACACATTTTTTTTTTCAGGCTCTGTGAACTTTTTTGCAACTAACAAGTGCTTTTTTACACTTGCTCATTGTATTGTTGGAATCTTGGGGTGACTCCAGCTCTTCCCTCTCATGTCCCAGGCACTGGGCTCAACTACAGATACAATTGTGAACAGAAGAAAGCAAGCCCAGCTCTTACAAGGCATACAGTCCCCTAGTAACTCAAGAAGACAAGTACTGTTTGAGTAATTATAGTGACCTGACTAAGGTGACATTTCCAGTCCCTTCCAGACATAGTAGTCTATAATGCACCCCCTCCTCCTTAAGAGATCACCCTTTCTTTTCTTTCTTCTCCCTCCCTGTCCTTCAGCCAACATAAATGGATCTTCTTGGCCTTTTTAGGAAGCACAACACCCTGATACACCCAGAGCTTTGGAAGAGCTTTGGAAAAGAGAAGAATGAGGTGGAAGAGTGGTCCAAGAAAGTTTTGTCTCACCTCTGCTTCTCTGAAGAGGTGTTTCATAACCTATCCCAGAGAAATTTACCACCCAAGCTACCAGAGGCCATTGAAGAAGGAAGAGAGAAAAGAGACATCTAACTTCTCCAAGAAGAAAGACAATGTCTGCATTAGCAGGGCTTTCACTGGTCTCCAAGGATAATTCATGCTGTCCTCATGCACATTGGACTCATGGTCTGGCTCTGACCTCTGAAGGATGGCTCTCGACCAACCGTCTCTAG